ATAAGACACATGTGCAAAGTTATTCAACAAAAACCGATCAAATTTAACGAAAATTTTTTCACACGCCTACGCAAAAATTCATGTGATCTATCGGTCTAGCATTTTTACTACAGCTTCATCTAAGAGTAAAAGTGAAGCGTTTTTAGTTTTTGTCATTTGGATTAAAGACGGCTTATTTAGGGCAGAACAACTACAAGGTGAAAGGACGCGCAGATACATAAATATTGGTTAGACAAGCAAACTAGATTAGTAGTTTCTAGCTCAAGTTTACAAAAGAATCATACTGGTGGACGGTTATTATTGATTATTGATTGCGAACTTTTCAGCACAAATTTACTAAATTTTATGAAATTATCCTAATTAAAGAGTATTTAGCGTCACGTGATATTAGCTTAAGCAATTAGCACAAATAATGATGCTTGATATGGCTGTACCGATTGCATGGGGGTGATGACAAGAAACTGTTAATCTAAATTCCATGGCGTTAGTATAAAGGAAGCTATTAACACTGTTTTAGAGAGGAAAAACTACTACCAAATATTTTAAAGAACCTGGTCGGTTCTGTAAAGTAAAGGTCTGTTTCGGATGATAGGTTGCGATCCTAAAGCTAATGTTGATTACTATCAGTGTCACTTTCTTATTTTGCGTGTATTAAAAAAAAAGTCGTGATATCTATTCAAAAACATGTTAAGTGTGAAAAAAAGATGCGACCGAAAAGAAAAAAAAAAAAAGAATTGAGCGTGCGACTTAAAGAAATGAAATCAAAATTGGCGGCCGAATTGATAGCTACACTTATAGCATTAATAAGAATTTTACAACAAATATTCATTCATTAGTTAGCTGGGCAGCATTTTTTTTCAACTTTGTGCATAATGGTGGGTAAAATAAAATACGCGGTCTAGCTAATTAATGAATGAATATTTGCTGTAAACTTCTTATCAATGCTATAAGCGTTGCTATCAGTTCGGCTGCCAGTTTTGGTTTCATTCCTTTAAATCCAACGTGAATCCTTATTTTCACACCTAAGGTGTTTTTGATTATATATGATTCTCGTAAACAGTTAGGGTCTAATTGCAGATATCGATGTAAGTTAATGTTTATGCTGCAATGATAGACCGAGAGTTGCCTAGTGGTTAGCCTACTGGTGTAAGGAACTGAGGGTGCTATCAAACACACTTCGCACTTTTCTGTTGCGCTTGTGTTAAAGATCGACAATCAATCCACAATTGAGTTAAAGACTAGTTGCTTTAGGTGGCGGGCGTTACTGACTAGTTGCTTTTCCATTCTAAAATTCACAGTAACTTAGACTTTACATTATAACGCCCCCATTATAACTGAAAGGGCGAGCATGTTTGGTGGGACGGGGATTCGAACCCGCGACCCGCAGATCTCGAGTCGAGCGCCCTAACCACCTGGCTATGCTGGGCCATTTAGGGAGGAGTAAAAAACAAGAAATCGGTATTCCGTTTTATCATGAAATACAAGCTCTTTCTAAAAATCAGAGTGACTCAATTGTCATGTGGATTTACGAAATAAACTATATAGAACCATATTAAATATTTGTTACACAATTATGGCACCATCATAGTTTCTATGAAAGCATATCTAAAAATTCAACTTTCGTGAAAAACGGCAAGAACACAACAACAATTGAGTACTGGCCATAGCTATGTTTAAACCACAGACCTGGCAATTTATCCCATACTATACAAAAAGTGTCGATCAGATAAATGAGCTTGTAAAGATAATTATGGAGGTTAAAAAAGGGAAGTGATGAAAAAATATCAAAACTCATAAGTTACTTAAATATATGTTGTACTAACGATTGATAATTAAGAAAACATTAAAAATAGTATTTAACATATCTGGACTGATGCCACACCAGCTGGAGGTGAAATATCTGGATGAAATTCTCACATCCACGCAATGTCGACAGTTTGGTTTATTTTCCTAGAGCCAGTCTCTAGAATTTATCACTTCAACTTGCGCAGCTTAGTTTTTATTTATTTGTATAGAACGATTTTCCCGTTGGTCATGATATAAGAAAGAGTCAGAGGTCACAGAAATGTCTAACAGGTGTAAATTCATTCATTTGCAGCACCATATTGTTACGAAGCGGATTTGACTGGATTCTTTTGGAATCGACAGTTGATTCATGGACTTATTTACGAATAGTCTAATAATTTAAACGTTATATATCCATTGTAACTATTAA